TTTTTTTTTGATAGTGATTTTAATCACTGTCAGATATCATTATACTTGATCCAACTATGCCACGTCACCACTGTGCCGCGACCCCCCTGTGCTGGGTTTTTTTTTTTAATGACTACATACCTATTTCAGCTTATAAAATAGAAAATGTTGTAATTAAAAATATGACTCGCCACTCATTTGTAGTAGTTGTTGCTATTTTTATCACTTTACTTTTCTTAGCCTTATTCCTTTTGTCTATTTATAAAAGTTAATAACTTCTAAAATACTTGTCCAAAAGTTGTTATTGATCAGTAATTTGCTATTTAATAAGCTAGTTAAATATGTATGTTGCCATTTAAAAAAAATAATTTGACACCTTTAGAAGACATAAGGGATGAACATAAAAAATATATTATGACAGATAAATAGAGATACAAATTTAATTAACAAAAACCAAAAAAAAAATAGACCTTCAGTCAATACTTTAAATTGTTAATACTACTGAATTAATTTACTTAAACAAAGAGTTGGAGGTATGTTATTAAGAATTAAAATCCTGTTTTTCTATATAAATGTAGTACTAAACGAAATATTTTGTACTTGGCTTTTATTATTTTGAAAATTGTTCTATAATAAATTGATATGTAACTCGATAAATTTTATCGAATTATCCACAACACCGTATTAAGGTCTCTTTGAACTTTAGGTGGTATCTTGAAATGAGCCTTCCTATAAATAATATCGCTACCAAAACAAAAAGTGATGAGCACAGCAAAAAAACAAAAAAAATGTCATTAATCATGACTAGGTTAGTAAAATTCGAGATAGGCTCCAGACCGTTCACTCCTCCTTAATCTGGGCTTGATTAACCAACTTTATTATATTTGCAAAAGAAAAATGACTTTCAGTTCTGGTTTTTTCAAATATATATATATATATTATTTTTCATGGCAACTACTAGAGAATAAATAGGTTTTTTTTTAATTTTGGTATCTACAAACTTAATTATTAGAAAATTGAATTCATTAAAATTAACTTGAGATAGTTTTACTTTTAGTTCCTTAATTTTATATTGAAATATTTAGTAATATGAATGTCATTACTTCTATAAAATTAAACATATTTTTTATCATCACTATTAGTACTTGTTCAATTCAAAAGTGTGAAAATCTGAAAGTAAATGCAGATACTTATAACAAAAACGAATTACACACTGCCATTTTGAGTAATTAAGTTATTAATAATATTACTTAAAAAGTTATTCTTACAGACAAATTTTTCAACCACCTCATCGTAGTAACATTGTTATTTTTGTTTATATTACTTGACAAAAATTTGAAAAATTATATATTTCAGATAGTAATACGGATTTAAATAAATATCAAGTTGAAAATAAACCATTTCCAATTGCCGCCAATAAACCTCAACTAAGTGATCTACCAAATGTAGGACAATTCATAATGACTACCATAAAAAGAGTTGTACCATTTCATATAAATAGTGCTTACAAATGTAATAAATAATTAATATTCAGTTTTATAGTTGAATATCTAAGTTCAAAAATAGGGTATGCCCAAAAAAATTATTTTCATATGAAACGCAAAAACCTGTTTACAAAGAACTAAAAATCACTTTTCTGTGCACTCATAGTTTAATTAATTACATTTTTTTCATATGCGACTACACAGGGGGATTCTGTTATTGTAAAACACTTAATTAATTAATAAATAAATTTGAAAAATTTGATTTCTTTTAGATACATATTTTTTTAAAGTTATTTAATTTAGGTCGTACTTCTGCTTAAGTATGTATACTTGGCTGTTAACACTTATAAGTGTTAATAACTTCCGAAATAGTAATCAAAAAATGATTATCAATAAGTCAACTTCTTAATTAGACCATTATCTAATAAGTAGGACAATTAATTATTTATGTTCCTATTTAATAAAATAAAGTTCTTATCCTTATAAATCATAAAGGATGAATATAAAATATATAAATCGATAAATTGAAAAAACTTTTAACTAAAAGAAAAAAAATTCTTCTACTATATTACTTTATTTTTTGATTAATTAAATAGTCCACCATAATAAAAACATTTTCAAAAATGGGATCTCTTTAGTTACTCTAATTTTTTTATATACTTGAAACCATATGGTGATAAAATTAATTTATCAAATTGGACGTATAGAAAATATGTCCATTAATAAATAAATTTTATTTGAACGTAGTGATAGAAATGTAATTGAAATTAAGACTTGTATTCATTTTGTAAATTATGATTTTAACAAAATTTTATTAAATTAGTCATACTCCCCTATACGTCACTGGTAATTATTATCATTTATGCTTAATTATTTTTTCATTTAAATACAGGATAATTGATTTAGTATTAATCAAATAGTAATTTAGTATTTTCATACTAAATGATATTCGCAGCATAAAAAGTTATACAAGATTTGTCTAAAAATAGTGTTGATACATTTTATTAATTTTTTAGTATTATTAAGACATTATCAAAAATTATGAGCAACTATACTTAAAGAAAATAACTTAAATTATGAAAACGCAACCCAACCAAACTATAATGTTTGTCAAAAAATACACGTGATATTTGATGAGACTTAGATTAAAAAACATTAAAATATAAATACATTACAAAATATGAAATACATTTACTTCTTTTTGTTTATTAATAAAAATTTAGTGTTTTTTAATTTAAAGATTAGAATTACTTTATTTTGACTAAAAATGATAAAATAATTTTATTTTATAACTAATTATTTAATTATTATTAATAATAATAATTATTTAACAAATATTTTAGCTAATGATTTAATTATAATTTTTCAAGGAGAAAAATTGTTTATTTTGTAAAAAAAAGAATTAACATTTGTATTTGAATACTTTTAATCATTAATATTTGGATACGTTTTTTAAATATATTTTTAACAAACCTGGTGTTGAACAAAAATACTGGTCAACCCAAATTGTTAAAAATTACATTAAAGTTATTGAAATAAAATTTTATTGAGCGGGGAAGGCTGAAAAAATTAAAGTTTTTAGACTCTTCTAAATTAAAATCTTAGCAACATGTCTTATGCTCTGAAAATTATTTACTTTAAATCCAGAATTTTTTTAGTGTCCGATAGTGCTTATCAATCAAACAAGAATAAAATAAGCAACACTATCGTAAAAAATAATGTCAATCATAACGAAAAACTTAACTATTCAGACAATAAGATCGATGAAACTATGAGATTCAATCGAAAATCATTTGTTGATCATAGCAAACAAATTTCAAAAAAAAATGAGCAAAAAAATTATCTAGAAAAAATTGAACTAAGTCAACCGAACATGTTAGACAGCTCTTTTAAAACAGCTGATTCTGAAGCATTCGCAAATTTAGTTTCACAACCAGCGCTAAGGATGCAGTCTTCGCACATATTAGCTACTAATAGTTATTCCAACAATGCCATTAATCACGCAATTACTGTGAATAATGCTGCAGAAGGTACCACAACGGATTGGTCAATTGATATTTTCACTAGAAAAAAAGACCCAGAAACAGAAATGAAGTACAATTTGATGTTTGATAAGACCGGTATGGTCCATCGATATGATAAGGATGAAGAGGTTGGTAAAATATTAATAATGGTTATCTATTAAAAAATAATGATTTTAATTTTTATAAAATTTTTAATCAATATCGAAACCTAGTTTCAAATTATATATTTTTACATATAATATATTTTAATTTTTATGGTATATAAACAATAAATAAGGATTAAAAGTAAAAATGAATATTAATTCCATATGTTTTCAGAAAAATAAAAAAGACATGGAAATTAATATGGCCCAGTAATAGTTTTTTCTTGCAACAAGAAGGTCAAAAATGATGTTGACTAAGATGGAAATGTGGAATCATTCATTATTTTATTTTTGTAATTTTTTTGTCATTTGCATTTTTTAAGTTAATTTTATTATTGCACTGAAAATGATTTTTGGTTGAATATTTAAAATTGAGGATTTTTCTATATCACTACATGTTTTTTGAAATTATGACTTAACATCCAATATTAAGGTACTGTCCTTATATAAATATACTTACTCTTTAATATTCGTATAAGTTTATTAAAAACTAATTATGAATTGTATAAAATGTTTGTATGTTATGATTTTAGCTTCGATGCGAATATGAGAAGGTATTATTATTTTAATATGAAGCGTTTTTTTTGTGTCTGTAACCAATTTTTCTCAACCTTACCGAACCGATACTTTCAACGACACGTCAAAAGATCACAAATCGTATCTAGTCGAATATATTACCCTCAAAAATTGAAAAAATTCCCCTCGTTCCTCGAAAATGGGAGAAACCTCTTCGATTCGATTACAGTTCTTCCCTAAAATTATTTGAGGGGTGGCCCACTGAGTATAACCATCAACATTTTTAAAACCCGCATTTTAATGTGAAAATTCTAGATTTTATATTTTACATTTTAGCTTCGATGCGAAGCTGAGAAGGTATTAATTTTACTATGATGTGTTTTTTTTTTTTTTTTTTTTTTTTTT